ATACGTATTTAACAATTAGTCTTATAAAAAGATTACCTAAGTTACATTTCCATGTGCTTGCATGGACTATAATTTCCCACAGGTAGGACAATCTCTACTTGTAAACATTTTCTCTTCAGAGTCTGTCAAAGGATATCTGCAGATATTTTTCAGCCTTAGAAATATAGCTCAGTAACTATATAGCTAAAATAACATTACTTTACAAAGACAAGATGACAAAAATATTTATGAAGTGTGTTTATATAAACATATTGGCTTGTAAACAAGTTGACAAAATTTACATTAAATTCTGAGAGAAAACTTCAAACTAGACAATTTGCATTAAAGAGAAAAATAAGTTAAAGATTAATCACATCTTAATTATTCCATTGGTTATTACCATGTCAGGCACCTGGCAGTTTCAGAACTGAACTGTACTAAGACACTGCAACAACGCTGAATATTGTAATTTACATGAATGATTTCCTTTAATAGATCAAAAGCCACCTCATAGTTACCTGAGGATTTCCATGGTAACTCAGTGGGGATAACAGTATGAAAGACTTATTCTTCACAAACTGGGAACTCACAACTTAAGTGGATGTTTTTAGCATACTTTAAGGACAGTCTCTTGTTAGCTACCGTTTTATATGGGAATCCCAGAAATGCCAGCAAAACTAATTCAAGAGTTAAGTCACATCCTTCTGAAAATATAAACCCCATCCAAATCTTTCTAGCAATGTTTGCACCAGCTGTTTTACAGGATTCTACCTAATTTTATTTATAAACTTGAATAAAAAGAAGTCCTACAAGTTAGGCATGAAAGTATTTTAAAAAAACCTAAGTTAACAGAAAATCATCAAGAATTATGAAATAGTTACAACAGTTCACCAAATTATACATCGGAAAGTCACATATAAGTTTAACCATAAAATATTTTCTATGTATTATTCAATACCAGCTTCAATATTTGTTCTGATGTAACAGTGATACTCAAGAAGTGATATTCAGTTTTTTACCCCTTTAAGTGAGTACACTTATTTCCTCTATTTTTACAGGTGCAAGGATGCTTATTTGGATATCAATTCCACATGGGTATGACTTTAAACATAACTTTAAATTACATTTTTCCATCTTGAAGGCAAAGGGCAATCAACGGTAATAAACAGACAGTTCATCATCACTCATGTCAGAGTCATCTTCATCCACTTCACCTTCAATGACTGATTTCTTGCCTTTGCAGCATGAAACAATTAATCCAATTAAAAAGACCTGCAAATTTAAAATTAGTAAGAGTTACTGTTATTCAATTAAGGGGCATACAAAGGCAATATATGTAAAACTAAATGGCAGTGTGGTGATGCAAACAATTCAGTGACAAATACTGTAAGTTATCCAGCTCAATTCAGTGATCTTTATAATCAAAGTACTTACTGCAATGAATGCCCAGTTTCCAAAGTAATAGGCAGCACTGAAGAACCAGAATTTATGAAGAAAGAGGTATGTCCGAGTAACAATACACTGATCTAAGAGGAAAGCAAACAGTACTGATTAACACAGAACAAATAAAAACCAGCTAATTCCAATTTACAGGATAATAATTCAACAGTTTTGGAGAATATTCAGCTCTGAAGAAAAATTACACTCCATAAACTCAAATTTACTCTCCTCTACCAAGAAGGTATATACAAGAGGGATATTTGTTATTATGGGAGAGTGAAGGTGAAAACAGGTAACAATAAGGTAAGAGTTACACAGGAAAGCCCATTACTATTGTGTACAATTTCTCCAACAAATGTGTCAATTACTGCCTGTTCTGACAGACTCCAGTTACTTCCCATTTTAGATTAACTGTAGCCATAAGGAGAAGATACAAAGCAGATGCTGTACTAAAACACACATTTTAGTACTTTGAAAAAATGTCTCTCTACCAGGGTTGCCTAAGTTTTGTAAAAAATCAAAGTCAATTACAATGTTGAGTTGTGTAGGCAAAAAACCCTCCACATACTGGGCCTTTTGTGACCCAGACAGCAGAGGGCTTTTTTTGTACCCAAGACCTGACAGCACTGCTTAAATCCTACTCCTTCTCTAACACCATAAATAGAGCCACATCTGAAAAAAACTAATGAAGTATTCTTCTCAATCATGACATGGCAGATTTTAACAGAATTAAGAATCAAATTGTCAAGGCATTTTTAAGACTGCAGACAGAAGGCACAAAAGCTTGTATGGGACACTGAGCCTGTAACATTCAACAGGTCATGTTAGGGGGCAGCCAGCAGGACACACGAGACAGCTGGCAAACCTCTCTAGTGCAAGGAGGGGTGCACCGAGTTCATGCTAAGGTATAATGTGACCTCCTGTTTTTCTCATTTACTATGCTTCAAACCCCACCTAAAGCCCATTTCAGAGCAGAAATTGGTATCTAAACAATTTGAACACTAGAGAAAGTAGGAAACCCACAATTGCCTGTTCTTCCCTCAGTTCTGACCCCACATTTGGAAACAGCCCCTAGGTGCAGCTGAAGTACAGACTTCCCACCCAAGTGATATGCTGCTGCTTATATAGTTTAACTTTTAGCAGCCACCTAAAAAGTGACAAGCTGACAGTCATCAGTTTCTGAAGGTAAATATTTTATTTCAAGATTCCACTTTCACATTAGATAACAAGCTGCTTTAACAATACCACATGCTATAGCTCACTGTTTCCTGGAGAGAGAACAGTTAAGAAGGTAAGGACAGGTCTTTTTCAGGAAGGTCTGCCATTGACCTTGCCAGGGTCATCCCCCCAAACCAAATCCCTACAGCATCTAGAATGATTGTATCTGAACAGAGAAACTACTCCATACCCTCAACAGTTCTCCAATGACTTATACTTTGTAAAACTAACAGAGTAATTTAAAATATTGAGTTAAATACTACTTTATGCAGCAGACTGATTTCTGGAACCTATTACTCAGTATCAGCAGACAAAAAAAATAAGTTAAATTTGGATTCCACTACTACTCGACACAAGGGATACAACACACAAATAGGCATAGTCTGCAGATAATTAAAGTGCAAACCAGCTTAATTAGAGAAAGCATGCTTCACCACTAAACACATACAGAGTGAAAGCACAAGGAAGGAATTTGGCTGAACTAATTCTTCCTGGTTCTCCAGACTAGATCTCAATTATGCAGAGAAAACCGATAACCCCCCCACCCCATCCCCTTTAACACCACTTAATAGTACCCACCCTACAAAAGAAGAAAAAGAATTTATCAAGTAGCACACCACTCACAACACTGCATTATTTGCTAACATGACATGTCCACAGAAAAGGTGAAGTTTCTCACATAATAAGAAATGCTGGTAAAGTGAAGATGCTTCATAATTGCAAATAGTATTGTCAACACCATCTGCAGCTCTCCAGCTGGTTACTTGAATTAAAAAACAGCTAAAAGATTTTCAGATGGCTCTCTACAGTAATTGTATTAAATAGATGATGGTAAATATTTTAAAACAATTTGACCTTGAAAATATTTCCATGGAATGTGCCACAAGTTCAGCTAACTACATTTTAGTTACCCCTTCTGAACAAAGATATTACTAAATAGGCTGACATAACATGACATTTTAATCAACTTATTCCTCCATAGGACATAATTTAAAACAAGTTATAACAAATTACACGAATTAAGATAACTACTTATTATCCAGAATGATCATTGGGAATATTACTGATACATGTTGATCATGTCAAACAAAAGTATACATGGAAAGCTACCAAGCCTCCTACAGATAACTACCACCACTTTAAGAATACAGCATATTACATACTGCTGACCAAGCAAAGCCAAACAGCCAGGATTCAAAACAACACAATTTGTTAAACAAAGGATGACAAGTACTAACAGCCATGACTACCTGGAGAGTCAGCTATATTTTATTTCAAGTCCATTCATGAAGCTTTTCATTCTGGTGAATTAGAAAACTTAGGTTCAATGTACTAATATTTTCAAACAAAGACTTCTTCCAAGAATTGAATTAGCTAGTTTAAGATTAATCACAAGGATAAACAAATCTGTTGATAAACAAATCTTAAAGCCTAAAAAGTTATTTCATGTAATGAAAACTCAAATTATGAGAACTTATTTACAAATAATGAAGTCTGTCTTTTCTGCGTCTCAAAATACTGTAAGCTTTCACAAGAGCTTATAGAAGGAAATACTTTCCTATGGAAGAGTTGTTGTGAACAACACAATTTAAAAAACATTGGCATCCTTTGGGAGTCAATACTGAGGTGCACACTTGTTTTACCTCTTCATTAATCAACTGGACAACAAAACAGATTATAGCCTCTGTAAATTTGTAAATGTAACTGAATACCAGGCTCCACTAATAGAAGTACAGCCAACAAGTCCAGGAAAGTGATCGCTTCCTTCTGCTCTGACTGGAACCGCATCTGTAACAGCACCATTTTGGACTCCTCAGTAAGAAAGAAGCATTGACATACAGCAGTAAGTCCAGTGGAGGACCACTGCAACAGCTAGGGCACACTGCATACAACAAAGGTGTGTTTGTTCAACTTGAAGTAAAGGTGTTTGCAGGTGTGTCTTACTGCTACCGCTGCTTTCTAGTGGGGGCCAACAAAACACAGTGAGATTCTTCCTAGACCTGCACAATAAAAGGACAACTGATGACAGAGTTGCAGCAAGAAATGTTCCCACTAGATAACAGTAGAAGCTTCACCATCACCATAGTTAAAACATTGAAGCAGGCTACCCAAAGCTGTTTCAGATTCTACATCTGTGGAGACACTGACAACTCAGGATCTGAGCAACCTGCTCTCCTTGACCACGCTAGGAGGTTGGACCAGATTACCTCTTGAGGTCCTGTATATGCTCAAAAATCACTACAATCCAAATTACATGAAGGTAGATCTAGAAACAGAGATAGATCTAACACTAAACATGGTATTTTGGACAGAAAACCCAAACTGAGAATGTCATCCACAGGACAGATGAGGTTTACATGCCCAATTTAAAATACACAAAACTACTTGCAAAGGAAAACCTGCTGCTTTACTGTGCTAGAACATATAAGCATCGCATACTCCAAATCCTAAAAGCATTGAAGCCATGCCTTCAGGTATCCAAGAACACTTAGTGGTTTATACTGCCCTGCTACCAATCATTCAAAAGCTGTGTTGGAAAAAGCAGCTGCTGCTTGCAGTCCAACTCAACTTGAATTTCAAGAAAAGGTTTGATGTGTTTCTGAACTTAAATTATACATCAAGTCACAAAAGGTTTGATATTTCACCTGGGAAAGCATAATGAAGGGGAAACCACCATTTCTTCCTTACAGGCATTACTTCTGGGCCTGCATCTGGCCTCACAGTTTAAATCACCTAACCTGGATATGAACATCTACATGGGATGATGGTTAGTGCACATTTCTGGTACCTCAGATGCAGCAGAATTGCAACAGCTGTGTGACATCTTAAACAGAATCTTTCTAGGGTTTGGTTGATTTCCAGATATTATTTCTTATTGTGTTACTGAGATACAATGACACATCTATTTTTTTACTGCCATTCCTGTATGCTTCACTTGGGTTACATGACTTAAGACAAGCAGCATCTCATCTTCAAACAAACAACATTCCTATAGGTCAAGTCAGTTCTACATTACAATAAAACAAGTCAACTGCCTCTGAATTGTTTTCAGAGGCTCATGTTTTCTTACTACGGCTTTTCTGCAACAAAGTTAAAATGCATTTGACAAAGAGTAAACAACTAGAGCAAGAACAGTTAGTTGGCTTTGGATGCTGTAACTCGTAGAACACAGCTAGACAGACCACTCCTAAACACCTTCTTAGATGTTATCTGGCACCTACAAGTAGTATTAATATTAATGTTTTTCTCTGCCAGAAAAGTGTATTTTCCTCTATCAGTATTTTAAACAAAGTGAGAAAAATACTACAATTCCTATGAACTGAGCAGGCACAAGGCAAAAAATTCAGGCTTGAAAACAGCCTCAGAGAAACATGTCTTTACTTACCAGAAACTAAGCAACAGCAGAAGATGAAGCAGCCTTTGGATTATTTTACTTGAAAGATCTATGATAGCAAATGTTTTACTCGATGGTAGAATGATTCCAAGATAGGTATGCCCCTTAAGGGACTCACTAAGGTAAACTAAGGGCTCTGACAAAGCCCTTGTTATTTTTATACTGGCAACATTTTCTTTGGAGCAACATATGTACTGCTTCCTCAAAATTAAAAATAAAAGAAATTTCTTAATTGGCTATCATCTTGGACAAGAAAAATGTGTTGTAACTCCAACCACTTATGAAAGACTACTGAAATGCGTAAGACCAATGAATTAGCTATATGTAGCTTAGAGTACATAGAGTAAGAGTCCCATTATTTAGTTTTGTCTTGCTATTCAACATTTCACTAGGGAAATCATGCAAAGAGTTATAGTCAATTTACAGTAATGAAACTCCCCAAAACAGTCAAGTAACTTGGCCTGCACAAAGAAA